TTTTTGTGTAAATTTTGAAGATTGTATTTATTATATAATTATTTAAAGTTATTTGTGATAAAAAAATTAATATCAATTAGTGCATCTAAAAGATTAAGTTATTTAATAATATTCTTAAGATTAAAAACTAAAAATTAAAAAATTTAGCGTAAAATCAATTTTTAATGATGTAATAAGTAATATTAATATTTCTAAATATAAGTTTATTTTGTTTTTATACAAAATAGTAAGTATGCCACCACATGAAGAGTTTTTTCGAGTAAAGGAGTAGAGGGCGCGCCAAGTGATGATATAGGTTGGCATTTTGGAACACCTGTGCCAAATACAAGAGGAAATGTTTCATGTAAACTTTGTGGTAAAGTTGTAAAGGGAGGAATAACATATTTCAAAGAACACATTGCTCATAAAACTGGCAATGTTGCACCATGCCCCAACGTTACTGGTATATTATGTTTTTTTAATTTCTTTGAAAATATTATTGTTAATTTCTTAATAAAAATTATAAAATTACATAAGCATGTGCAACTAATTTTCTTTTTTTTTTAAACTATATTATTAATAGATATAGTAAGAGAAAGTATGATGAAACTCCTTCAAGAAAGCAAATCAAAAAAGGCTGACAACAAAAGAAAAAAAATAAATTTTTATCACAGTTAAGAGGGGAAGATGATTATGAAGGATTTATTGATGAAGACATTGCTACTAGACAAGCCGTGCGAGATAGTATCCAATCACAACATGAGTGGCATAAAAGATAAGAATTCAGACAAAGAACTAGTGGTTGGAGTAACATATATGAAGAAGGACGAAGCTCTCATGGTTCAGTTGCTAAATATTTTGAAGAAAGAACAAGAACTCCAAATAAGTCTGAATTTTCATTAAGGGGAGCTGTTCCTGAATTGGTTAGAAGTAAAAGTTCAAGACAACCAAAAGTAAGTGATTCATTTCTAAAGACATTAAGAAGAAAAATGAGTGAATCAATATCAAAATTTTTGATATATGATCGACTTCCTTTTCAATTAGCAAATTCCCCATGGTTGCCTAATTTGATTTCTGTGGCAGCAGAAGTTGGCCAACATGTAAGACTTTCAACACCTTATGAGGTCTCAGACGTGTATTTAGAGTTTGAGTATCAACAAGTTCATGAATGGATTAATGGATTAAAAGCTTATTGGAATGAATTGGGTGTCACTTTGATGTGTGATGGTTGGACCAATAGTTTGAATCAAATGTATATCATTAATTTTTTTTGTTTACTGTAGTAAAGGGACTATTTTTTGGAAATCTGTAGATGTCTCAAGTGTTCGTAGTAGAGATACAAACTTTTACTACAGATTATTAGATGAAGTTGTGGAAGAAATTGGAGAAAAATACATTGTTCAAATAGTCACTGATAACGAGACAGCACTTAAGGCCGCAGGAAAAAGACTAATGGAGAAGAGAAAACATTTGTATTGGACAGCATGTTCAGTTCATTGTTTGGACTTATGCCTTGAAGATATTGTGAGGAAAAAAAATGTGGCAAAGGTTTTGGATGATGCAAAGAAAGTGACTTGTTTTATATACAATCACATTTGGACTGTTAATTTGATGAAGAAATATACACAAGGAAAGCAAATACTTCGTCCTGCTCTTACCCGATTTGCCACTCATTTCATACATTTAGAAGAAATAATGAGGCAAAAGCAAAGTTTGAGAAAGATGTTCAATTCAAATGTTAGTACTTAGTAATTAGTACAACTATTTAAATCTAGCATCTTTTTATAATATTATTGTTTTAAAATATTAATTTAAAATATATTACTCTAAAAATTTACTGATGAATATATAGGAATTTAAAGATTCAAAATGGGGACAACAAAAATCAAGACTTGCTTATGAAGTCAAAAAAATCATTTTGGGAAAAGATTTTTGGAAAAAAAACAGATGATATAATAAAAGTTTATGAGCCTTTGGTAAAAGTGTTGCGCCTTGTGGATGGTGATGAAAAACCAACAATGGGTTTTATTTACGAGGCTGTGAATAGAGCTAAACAAGCAATTCAATAAACTTGTTGTTATTCTGCTGAATATGAAAAGATTATTGACAATAGATGGAGTTTCATGCACTCTGACTTGCATTCAGCTGGTAAGTAAACCAAGACTATAGATGGTAGTTAAAAAATATGTTTATTTTTTATACTTAAATTGCTTATATATTTATTTTTTATTACTTTAATATAATATTGTTATAAATTATGTTTAGGTTACTATCTAAATCCACAATTTCAATTTGGAGTGGAACATTCTGCAAATGTATTTAATGAAACATTAGAAGGTATAAAAGCAGTTATTGAAAGATTAGAACCTTCGATAGATACTCAAATTAGAATGATTAATCATGTTAGTATTTAATACCATTTTATAACTTTAACATTTGTTTTACGTATTAAAAATTAAATTATTTTTTATTTATTCATTTATTATTGTATTTTCAATCGATGTAGTTGTTATTATTTCGAGACAAGCATGAAATATTTGGTAGTCTACAAGCACAAAGAGCTTGGAAGTAAATGAATCCAGGTAAATAGTAAGTTAAATAATTATAATTTATTTATATTATTTAATTGTATAGCCCATTAAAATTTAATTTAAATAATTTTATACAGCTGAGTGGTGGATGATATATGACACTTATGTTCCTGAATTACAAAAATTAGCAATCAAAGTGGTTTAGTCAAACAACATCTGCATCAAATTGTGAACGTAATTGGAGCACATTTAGCTATATTCACACCAAAGCAAGAAACAGATTGAAGTTTGCAAGACTCCAAAAACTTGTATATACCTATTATAACATGAGGTTGAGGATGAGACATCAAAAAAGAATGAGCATTGATGAAATAAATAATAGTTTTAATCCTATTAGCCTTGACCATATTTTTGAAGATGATGATCCACTAACAGAATGGCTGCAAGAGAAAGAAAATCCTCTATTAGATGGTCAAAACTCTGATTGGTTGCCTGCAGATAATTCTGATAATGAAATGAATGTTGAACGATCATGTCAATCTCAAGAAAGAAATGTGTTTCATTCAAGTTCAAGTCCAACACCGAGTCAGAGTGATGATGATAGTGATTTAAGTCCAGATGATGATGGTGATGGAGATGGTGCGAATTTTGGTGATAATATGGATGCAAATCGACCTTACAGCCCACTTGGAGGAGAATTTGGGCTTGCTGCTACTGGTGGACTTTTTATTAATATGGCAGAATACGGAGAAAATCCATTTGCTGAATCTAGTGAGGGTCAAAGTGCACGTACAGCTCGATCAAAAGGAAAAGCAAAGAAGCACCACTATGAAATTTTTAGAGGTTCTTCATCTTCAGGTGAGAGACCAAATTCTAGTAACTTTGAGTATAGTGAATCATCTGCTAGTACTCAAAGACATTACTATCCACCAGAACAACATAATTTTCAACCTCCTCATGGTTATCCACCTCCATATGGTTATTATCCACCTCAAATGTATCCTCCACCTCCTCAAATATATCCTCCACCTCAAATGTATCAGTTACCACAAATGTACCCTCCACCACAAATGTATCATCCTCAAATATATCCTCCACCTTAAATGTATCAAGAACAAAGGTCTCAGGGATGGAGATGGAGTCAACTTGGCTCTCAAAGTGAAGATAGAGAATCTGATCCTCCTCGTCATTCTATCATGTGGTAAATTTGAAATATGTATCAATAATTGTAGTTGATGGAATTTGAAATTATTATATTTTTAAGTTTGTAATTTTATTAAATTAAATGCTTGGTATTTAACATATTTTGTTTTGTTAATATTTGATTTGTTTAGAATTAATATTGAATATGAACTTGGCCAAGAAAAATTTTATGGATAAACCAAATATGAATGCTTTTTATAATCTAAATAAAATTGTAAATAATTTTTTTAGAAAATAAAAAACATAGAGTGTCATAAACTATTTTTAAAATCATTGAATAAGAGTTTTTATAATTATAATTATAATTATTACATTTTATAATAAATTGTACAAAAAAAAAATTTCATGACCGTGATGACCGCAATTATCTTCGTTATATCCGAAAACATAACAAATGCTACGCGATCGAAAACGTGACCGTTACAGCTATTTAAATCCTTGACAACAGCTTAAACTCAAAATGGAAGCAAAGAAGTATGTCCGAAACTGTCAAAACATTCTAACTAGTTACTAATTACTACTTTTTTTCTTTTTCCTCTTTCGATGAACACTGGAAGCTGAACATTCTACCACCAATCCATTGGGGTTGAGTAAACCAAGTAACAAACCACAACGACAACATAGAACAATCAATGACTCAATGAGATTGCAAACAATGATCTTCAAGTCTTTTTGGTTTTATCATAGAATCCGTTGAACAATACTCAATCATGCTTCTAACTTCATACACTAAGACTGAAAGCTGTAAATGTTCTCAAGTTTAAGTACAAGTTCTACTTTATTCAAAGTAATGTAGTTCTCTTTGTAGCCCCAGTACTCTGTTTTAAAGCAGCTTGTTCTGCTGTTTTCTTCGATTTCTCTCTTGCTATTAGTATGGCATACCAAGCAAGAGTTGATACAGAAGCTGAAGAATTTTTCTCCATTCAAAGGAAATTCTAAGTACAATTTATTCTTTCTATGTTGAATTTTAGTTCAAGTTCTCTTTTTCTAAGCAGAATCTTATCCCCTTTTCAATTACAGCAATGAACAGAGGCAGAGAAGAATTTGGAGCACAAAAATAATGTACCATAATGGAGATGCGGGGTATCGATCCCCGTATCTCTCGCATGCTAAGCGAGCGCTCTACCATCTGAGCTACATCTTCATTTAAATTAATTTAAATTAAAATTAGACTAAGACAAACAGTCTTAGTTATGTTTCATTCGATGAGTTTATTTAAACTTCTTGCAATCATATCTTGACAGCTGTCCCGCAAGTCATTACCTTCATGTTTAAGGTGATGAATTTGGAGTGTTAGTAAGAAGTCCAATGCAGAAGATTAGCACCCACGGCAAGTCGACAACAAGCTATTCCACTTCCATGGATCTTTGGAGGATAAAACAAGCTATATTCCATCTTGACTCAAGGTTTTACATGTTTGATCGGGTTATTCAGTGAAATACGCAAAGAAAACTGAAAAAGTCTTTACTCTTTAATATCCAAAGCAAACATAAAGCAGAACAAAAAAGAAAGAGAACAGTTTTCCTCAGATTTCATTTCACCTCAATCTGGGTTTTCATCATGTTTCCTAAGCGCCTGCTTCAGAAGGCTGTTCACCATTCTCAGGTACAAAAACGAAATTCCTTTTATTGCTTTTAGATTCTTCAGATTCTTTCTCTTTTATTGAACACGCATCTGATGGAGCTTCTTGGATTGGTTTCTGTTTTTCCAAAAAAAAAAAAAAATGGTTTCAGCAAAATGTGCAGTATGGGAATTTGAAATCAGAAGACTTGGATTTGCGAGTTGCTATCCACTATGGGATCCCTTCTACAGCATCAATTCTTGCCTTCGATCCTATTCAGCGCCTCTTGGCTATCGGCACTTTGTGAGTTTAAAGTTTTAAGCTTCGACTACAAAATACTATCAAGTTATTTTATTTATTTATTTTGCTGCTACAAATAGATAGTCATATAAATGCTTCGAATGTTGTAGCCTTTTTTTTTTTTTTTTTTTTGAATTTTTAACGTTGTTTTGTGTTGAGAGGTTGTTGGATATAAGAATGTTTTGAATTTTGACCATTCTTTTTCTTGAATTCATGAATTTTCATATGAAAACAAAATACCATTTTAGTATCTTGCAGAATTTGCTTCTTCTACAATGTGTGTTATGTCCTAACGTGGTGTTTCCTTTACTTGCTTTCTTTGTATATGAATTTTGGTTCCATAGAGATGGCCGGATTAAAGTTATTGGTGGTGATGGCATTGAGGGACTTTTCATATCTCTGAAGCAATTACCTTACAAATATATAGAGGTTCGCTTATGTACCCCACAAACTGCTTTTAAGACTTGCTGGCTATATTGTTTGTTCTTTAATCCTTAATAAACTCCAAGTTCAATAATGTGAATTCCTTCAAGGAAATTCAAGATAAATTGTTTTTCTGTTGAGAGAAATTTGATTGTCCATCTATGAAAGCCTATAGTCATCACAGTTTGGATCTTTGCAAAACAAAGAGATATCAATGATTCTAAATTGATCAACTCTTTAATTTATATAGAATATCAGGTGCATTTTCTTATTAGTTTAGCTTTGAACTAAACTTTAGCATTTTTATGGCAGTTCATGCAAAACCAGGGTTTTTTAATTAGCATCTCAAATGACAATGATATTCAGGTATTGATTTTTTATCAACTGTGCAGCGGTTAGGTCCTAAGGCATCATATACCTTTTATTTTCAACAATTTCCCAATTTTTTACAGGTTTGGAATCTGGAGAACAGGTGTATAACGTGTTGTTTACGTTGGGAATCCAACATCACTGCCTTCTCTGTCATCAGTGGCTCGCATTTCATGTATAATATATTTATCAAATAATGATCTAATATGTTTCTAAAATCAGCTGCAAGTTTGGTAGTTATGGAAGTGGTATTTGATCAATGCTGTATCACATTGTGCTCTATCTCTTAACATAGGTTCATTGGAGATGAGTATGGTATGATATCAGTGATTAAGTATGATGCTGAAGATGGAAAACTTTCTCAGTTGCCATATAATATATCAGCAAATTCTTTAAGTGGTAGTTTCTTCTTTCCTTTCTAGAGGCCAATAAATAACTTGAACTCTGATTAAGAAAATTAAATAATTTTTCATGTTTCTACTTTGGTGGCATATGTTACTTGGATTTCTTATATATTATTGCTTATGTATCATTCTTTTGGTTTACAGTGATCTTATATACAATTTTCTTTTAGCTCTACTAAATATGTAATTGCAGCATGATGAGTTTAATTCATACAAAGGATCATGAAATCCTAGATATATTGTTTCAAACTTTTTGGTTCTCTATTAATGGACTGTTTGATGCTGTCTCACAGAAGCAGCTGGGTTTTCATTTCCTGATGGCCAACCTGTTGTTGGCATTCTTCCTCAACCCCATTCTTCTGGAAATAGGTATGGCGCAATTGCTTAAATTAGCTCAATTTTTGGAATTAATAAGAACTGAGGCTCAACTTAATATCAAGTCAATCCAATCCATAATGCTTGAATTTGAACCTTCACTTTTACTTTTGCATGTATGGTAAATGTGAAAGAAACTTGGGACAATTTGATGCATTACCATAAAATAACATGTTTTAGACTAAGTTGAAAAATTGGATCTATGTTTTGATTCCATCAGCATCTCAATATGGCTGCAGCATTACTAGCATGGAACTGCCGTCTTATATTAGAACCTAATTACCCTAGACAATAAGGAAAAGGCAATCAAGATTGTTTTGGTGTCTGCTTATCACTTTAATATTTTGAGCTATATATATTTTTTTTGCAGAGTCATAATTGCATATGCAAATGGTTTGATAATTCTTTGGGATGTTTCTCAAGCTCAAATTTATTTTATTGGAGGTGGAAAGGATCTTCAGTTAAAGGATACAGTGGATTCAGAGGTTCAAGATGATACATTTGAGCATCATCTACAAGAAAAGGAGATAAGTGCTATTTGTTGGGCATCTTCTGATGGATCCATTCTTGCAGTGGGATACATAGATGGGGATATCTTGTTTTGGAATACATCAAGTATTGCCTCTTCTAAAGGTGAACAAAATGGACAAAACAAACATGTCGTAAAGCTGCAATTGTCATCTGCTGAAAGGAGACTGCCTGTCATTGTCTTACAATGGTCCCCAAACAATAGATCCCACAATGATTATAATGGCCAACTTTTTATCTACGGTGGTGATGAAATAGGATCTGAAGAAGTTTTGACGGTGCGTTATGCATTTGATTGCAATTTGACACTTCTTTCCTATAATTTATGTAATCGTAAAGTGTCTGTTGGATCTAATAGAATGAAGTTAAACAATTCTGAATGCATAAACTATATGTTCTAAAAGGGTGTAAAGTTCTCACTAGCTTTGGTAGATTCTAAAAGAATGGTCATCCATTATGAAATAATGTCTTCGTTTAAGAGGCTATAATTTCTTGTAAATACATTTAATATGGGAATTCCTATTTTTAACATGATAACAATAGTCAATATTTTAAGTTTTATGGCAAATTCGTTTTAATCTTGCTTTTGGATGGTGTAAAAATCTAACTTTTGTGAGTATTGTTTTGTATGTTAGTATTTTGTTGTGAAATGGTAACTGCATCTATTTCTACTCTCTTTTGGAAAACTATCAACCATCAAATACAAAAAGCTGAATTTAGTGCTTATTGTGGCGGTACAGGTTTTGAGTCTTGAATGGTCATCTGCGATGGAGACTGTTACGTGTGTTGGTCGTGTGGACCTTACACTCACTGGCTCGTTTGCTGACATGATTTTGTTGCCAACTGCTGAGACAACAGGGCACAATCACAAAGCTGATCTTTTTGTGTTGACAAATCCTGGACAACTGCATCTTTATGATAATACCATCTTGTCTACCTTGCTATCTGAGCAAGAGAGGAAACAATTTGCCTGTCCGGTGGAATTTCCCATGGTAATACCTACAGCTGACCCATCAATGACTGTGGCAAAGTTCAGTGTGCTACCCACAGGTGAAAACTCATCAAAAGGTCCGTCAGAGGTATTGGATTTCTGTCATAGATATGTTTAATATTTAAAGCCATTGAGTTCCCTAAAAGTTTTTCTTGTCTAATGTTTTCCTTCTGTTCCATCAGCTTGCATTTATGATGAAACCTGGCTCAATACCAACCCCAGCTGGTGGCATAAAGTGGCCCTTGACAGGGGGCATACCTAGTCATCTATCTGTCGCTAAAGATAACAGTATTGACAGTTTGTACATAGCAGGTTACCAGGATGGATCTGTTCGGATATGGGATGCGTCTTATCCTGTCCTGTCACTTATCTGTTTTCTAGAAGGAGAAGTGAGTTCAGTCAATATTGTGTCCTTTCATGCAATTTTCTTTGCACCAAATAATTTCTTATGAGTGACAGGTGCAAGGTACAAATTTGACTGGTTCAAGTGCTCCAGTGACAACTCTGAGCTTCTGTTGGCACACTTTAAGTTTGGCTGTTGGCAATGAATGCGGTGTGGTCAGAACTTTTTCTTTACATTTTCTCTTCCTCTTTTAATGTGTCAAGGTTGGGTATTAAACTGGTGCTTTATATATATTTTAAACATTCTGCTTTGTATAGGTTCGCATTTATAACCTCGATGGCAGCTCCGGTAAAACAAGCTTTCATTATGTCACTGAGACTAGATGTGAAGGTAAGCTTTCATCTTGTGATACTTTTCTTAGAGCCTATACTTTCTCAAATTAATATCGTTCAACTTGCCTTACAGTTCAGAGTTTTCCCCAAGGAAAAGGACCTCAGTATAAAGCTGTATTTTCCCTTTTTGAATCACCAGTTCAAGCTCTGCAGTTTGGGAATTGTGGAGCCAAGCTTGCTGTGGGATTTGAATTATGTCGTGTAAGTTTCATCTGCCTTAACTTTGTTTGACATATCCTCTTCATTTTGCTAAGAAGCTAGGTCATAGGTGATTTGCTGGTTATTTCAGCTTTCTATCTCAGAAGGATTCATATTTCTTTATGCTTCTACCACAGGTTGCAGTGCTTGATGTGAGTTTGTCATCTATTTTGTTCATGACTCATTATGTGTCTGGCTCGTCATCTCCAATCATTTCACTGTCTTGGTTAGAGTTTAAAACTGCTCATAGCCTTGTGAAAAGCTCAAAGCATTCAGAAACAGAAGTTGCTGTCAAACCTGAAGAGGAAATAATATTTGTCTTAACCAAGGATGCAAAAATTATCTCTATTGATGGTGGTAATGGTCAGATGATACACCCTCATCCATGGCACTTGAAAAAAGAAGAAACTGCACTCTCCATGTACATTATAGGTAAGTACCATAATAAAGCTGGATGCTTATAGTCAACACTTTTTTGCTCTTAGTATTAACGGATGATAGAATTCTGATGATATTTGAACTCCAGAGAGCAGTTTTTCAGTATCTGAATTAAACTGTGAAGGGCAGCTGGAGGAATCCAGCAAGGATATCACTGCCAAGAGTGAGCCTGAGCTTGACGCCTCTTCAACTGTGACTGAACATCTCTCCTCATCAGAAACTGCATCCTCTCAGGAACACTCACTTGATGCACTTGTTTTGCTTTGTTGTGAAAATTCATTGCACTTGTACTCCATGAAGTCTGTGATTCAGGTGCCTTTATTCCTTCGCTATGTTCTACTTCAGAATGTTGTTGTGCCACTCCATTTGTATGCTAAAGAGATATAATTTCTATAGGGGAAGGATAAAACAATTCATGGAGTAAAACATAAGAAACCTTGCTGTTGGACCACCACTTTTAAGAAAGATGGAAGAGTATGTGGACTGCTCTTGCTGTTTCAAACAGGGGATCTGGAGATCAGGTAAAATGTTGATATTTTATATTTTTTTCTCTTTTTGTCCTTAAAATAGGTATTGATTTCCTTATGATGTCATTTAATTCCCATGTTTTAAATAGAGATTGTGTTCCTTCCTCTCATGAGCACTATTAGCATCAATGTTTATCAAATGACTGACAATGTTACTGCCTATCTCTATGCAGATCCTTGCCGGACTTAGAATTGGTTAAAGAAAGCTCCATAATGTCAATTCTAAGGTGGAACTACAAGGCAAACATGGATAAGACGATGACTTCTGATAATGCGCAAGTTACACTGGTACTTTCTCGTGGAATATTTTTTTTCAGAAAGCCATTTCAATGTTTACCAGAGTGTTTCATGACATATTAAATATAGATTTAAGAGCATACTTTAGCATATGCTACACTCCAAAACAAAAATTACCTCTAATACTAATAACACTTTTTTGGTCAATATATTTGTGTTCTCAATAATTTATCTGATGATATATGCCTGACGTTTGGTATACAACAGAGAAGTGGATGTGAAGTGGCATTCATCTCTCTCTTGGCTGGTGAAAATGGTTTCAGGTACCACAACCACTTGTTTTGTCAATGCTGTGGTGAAAATTAAAATTTAATGAAGAAAATGATTCTGAGAACTTGCTTTATTGTTTCTAGGATTCCAGAATTGCTGCCTTGTCTGCATGATAGGGTTCTTGCAGCAGCTGCCGATGCTGCCTTTAGTTTCTCGTCAAATCAGAAGAGGAAACAGGTCCATGGAAATGTCACTTTCTTGGTTTTAATTTCTGAAGAAACAAAAATTTGCTTATGTACACTTTACCATATTGCTGCAGGGTACAACACCAGGGATTCTTGGTGGTATAGTCAAAGGCTTTAAAGGAGGAAAAGTAAATACTTCTGCAACGCCTGAATCCAATTTTACTCATTTGGAGAGCAAATTTTTAAAGGCCCCATTCATAGATACAACCCAGAATGTTATAAAAAAGCAGGAAGATGTGGAGCTTGACATAGGTTCTGTCCACACCTATACCCACATTCTTTCTTCATTCTTGGTTTTTCTCTGACAGCATGTTTTTCTTTTGGCACCAGATGACATTGAAATAGATGAAACTCCACCTGTAGCTAGCTCCTCATCTCACGAAGCTGTTAAAACAAAAGGAGGTAAATCTGACTTTCTAATTTGCTTTTCTTTACTCAACTTCTAAAATGAATTGGTAGATTGTTCTCTCTACCTTGCAGGAAAGGAAACAGACAGAGAAAAATTGTTAGGTGCGCCAGATGATTCAACACCCAGAGTTAGAACAGCTCAAGAAATTATTGCTAAATATAGAAAAACTGGGGTAACAGATTTAGATACATTTTGGTTTTAGCAATTCGTTTTTTTTTTTTTTTCACAGTAGCAGCTTTCTGAGCAGACACCATTATCTGATTGCAGGATGCCTCTTCATCAGCTGCCCATGCAAGAAATAAACTGGTAGAGAGGCAGGAAAAGTTAGAGGTAAAAAGGATTTCCTATAAAATGCAGTTGTCATTTGTATGGATGGATAAAACCTTATTATAATTTAGTTACTAAGACAAAGGGAAAAAAGCTGTGGAGAAATAGTTCCCAGAAAAACCAATTTAGGCCATAAGATGAACATTTTGGTGAAATTAACTTAATAAAATTTAAAAGCCTTCATTGTAGCATATTGTAGCTTACCTCTAACCTAGCTTCTTTCTGGTGACTTATGATTGAACCAGAGAATCAGCAGGCGCACTGAAGAGCTGCAAAGTGGGGCAGAAAACTTTGCATCATTGGCAAGTGAGCTTGCCAAGGCAATGGAAAATCGAAAGTGGTGGCAGATATAAAGAGAGACAAATGGGGATTAATTATCTTGAGATAAGTTGTTCATGCTCGACTTTACTTGATCATTTTTTGGGAACAGGAGACTTAAAACTGATAGAATCTTTGGTGGAAAATTGAGGGTTGTTGAAGCTTCTAACTAAGAACTGTGTTTGAGAATTAATTATATGTCCGATGTAAAGTAATATTATGTTTGGTTGGCTTAAACATGATTCATTCTGATAAAAATCCTTGGGTTGAAAATCATAAATTTTTTCATGCAAATGCATAGTGCATAGAGAATATAAAAGGGTTGATGTTGATAAAGTATATAGAGGTGTAATGTAAATTGCAGAAGCAGGGAAGCTAATCAAGGAAACCAATTGGACTGATTTTCTATTATATAAAGAATTACCATTTGTTGGATTGAGTTTGCTTTCAACTTTAAATGCATTTTTTATTTTTGGTCAACCCCCTTAGAAGTTTAGGAGCTATTTGCCCATGAGTATTAACATAAATCATATGTTCAAAATTATTGCATTAAAGCTTTTTCTTTTTGGATAAATCCTAGTTTTTATTTTATTTTATTTTATTTTATTTTATTTTATGTTGTAAACATCACTAATACATTGATTATGAGCTTTTTATGCCAAGTTTTTTAATTCTAAATATTTATGTTCTCTTTTAATTAGTAACAAAATAAATCATTGTCAAAGTTGTGAAAAAACAGTTTTGGTAATTGTAATTTAATTTAATACTAAAAAAAGAATATTAATTGAATAAACAAATCGAGTCCTATTTGGAATTAACATAAATTTTCAAAGAGGACACAGAAAACTTTGCTAAAAATTGACCCAAAAAAAAAAGTTGGAGGAGTGGGGTACTCCAGGCAGGCTGCCTCCTTGGTGGCTTTGACCAGACATTATTATCTTAACAAATATGCAAATAAAACAATAAATTTTGATGATAAATCACGTGATTGATATACGTTTTATTTTTAATATAGAAAGGCGTGTTCGTCCACCGCTGGATTTGGACTTTTCCACAAAAGAGTGAGATACCTCATATTGTGTCAGCTTTGGCAAAGTGGCTGGGAATAAAGTTGACACATTTATTTGTTTCATTTGTATTCTGTTCAAACTATTTTGGTGCACTATTAAGATTATAAACAATATATATGTAACATTAACATTTCATGATTTAAACAGTCACTTTTTATTTGGCCAAAATTAAAACTTTAATATTTCAACACTCGTTTAGTACTTTCCAAATTTGAAGTGATGGATCGTCTGACCTTAACATATTCAATGGTTCATATTACTCTTTTGCCCTTTTGCCTATCAATAATCAGTAATAAAGTAACCGTTAAAGAAAAGAAAAGGCAACATAATAATTTGAGCACGTGTGAGAAAATGATTCTGGTCGGTGGGCTTCATTGGGAAACCGACCTTTCGAAGCAATGCTACGTCTATTTGCTATTGGAAAGAGATTTCACACATGCCAAGCGCTGCCCCTAGCCATCACATACATAGGAAAAGTGAAAATACGCTCCAAAGAAAAGGACTGAATCAGCAAAACGCAGTACCGCGTCTAATATCTTATAAATATAATCGAATCAAATTAAATTAAATCGATATAATAAAAAATTTAAATTTAATTTTTAACTCATAATTTAATATTTTATTTAAATTTTGATCAAATTTTATTTTTTTAATTTAAATTTAATTCATGATCAAAATTAAAATCATTCGATTAAATTCGATTAACATATAAAAATAAATTTAATTTATATATTTAATAAAAATTTAATTATTTATAATCGAATTCAAACTTAAATTTAAAATAATTTATTAATTAAAATAATAAAAATATATTTAAATATAAAAATTCGATTAAACTTGTAAGTTATTTGAATTAAATATAAAAATATTTAAATTTAATTTAATCGATGAATAAATTTAAATTTAACTCGATAATAATTAAATCAAATTTAAATTTTATTCTATTGAAATTTGAATAATTTATAAATATTATTATATCATTTATATCTCTAATTACGATTAAAAAAAAAAAAAACAAATTGACTCGTAGTAGGCTGACTCCACTCGTTTCCGCAAACCCCAGAACCATGATAAAAGCCCCTCAATGCCCCCTTCTTTCTATCAAGTAACCAGTCAGGAACCTCTCAGTTTTTGCCTATCTCTCTCTTTCTCAAGAACACAAACTTTCTCGAATGTTTTCGGTTCTGTTCTTTCCGATTATTGCTGAGGAGAGAGAACATTAAGGCAAATCTTGAGGTTGTCGTGGAAGCAAGATTGCTAGCATCAAGAAGTTTTCCTTTTTATCTCACCTTAAAGTTGGCAACTTGTTTATTTGATTTCTCCTAGAGTTTTTCCGTTTATCTTACCTTGAAGCTAAACGCTGGTTGAGCTTTACCTCGGTCTTTAATGGCGAGTTTTGTCATATCAGAATGTGTTTTAAAGCCTCTTCCTCATATCTACGCTAGACCCGCCGCTGGAGTTGTCTCAAGGAACTCTTCAAAGCCCAGATTTTTACAAACAAGCAAGAAATTTTCAGATCTAAAACCAACAAATCCAATCAAATTCTCGACTGAGGTTTTTGGAGGCAGGAACTGGGGGCTAAAAGTCAGTGCTCCATTGAAAGTTGCATCCACAGAAGAAGATGAGGAAAGAGAAGAGAGAATCCATGGTGTCAACGAGTTTGGAGAAGAAGAAGAAGAAGCAGGATTCGACCCTGGGGCTCCGCCACCGTTTAAATTAGCAGATATCAGAGCTGCCATACCAAAGCATTGTTGGGTAAAGGATCCATGGAAATCTATGAGCTACGTGGTGAGGGATGTTGTTGTGGTGTTTGGCCTGGCTGCTGCTGCGACTTATCTTAACAACTGGCTTGTTTGGCCTCTTTACTGGGCTGCTCAAGGGACCATGTTTTGGGCTCTTTTTGTTCTTGGTCATGATTGGTAATTTACAATTCGCATTACAACCTTCTGTTATTAGATCTTTCTCTTTCAGTTTATATTTATATTTTCTTTTTGATGCTTGATTGGGTAGTTCTTTGGATGTTGTTGCTTACTTTTGGATGCCCTTGATTTCACCGTGCAGTGGCCATGGGAGCTTTTCAAACAATCCTAAGTTAAACAGTGTAGTGGGGCATCTCTTGCATTCTTCCATTCTTGTGCCTTATCATGGATGGTGTGCTCTAAATTTGAAATTTTCTCTTTTCAATTTGTATATGTAATTTAACTTAGTCCATTGTGCTGAAAATTTTCCATCACACTTAACAGGAAGTTTTAATTAATTTTATTTCCGTTATGATTAACTTTACAGGAGAATTAGCCATAGGACTCATCATCAAAACCACGGGCATGCTGAGAATGATGAATCATGGCACCCGGTTGGTTAAATTTCTCTTGTTCTTTCTGGTGTTTGTTTGGTCTATTACCACGCCTTTGTTCTTCCTTTCCTGTTTCCACCTGGTCTAAAACTTAAAACTTTTGTCAATGCTGTTGCAGTTATCTGAGAAGATATACAGGAGTTTGGATAACTCAACACGAACGTTGCGGTTCATGTTGCCTTTTCCCATGCTTGCATATCCTTTCTACCTTGTAAGTGTGTTGTAGCTTGGTTGATAAATTTGATCCCAGATATAGAGATATTTAATGGCTGTTTAATTTTAATTACAGTGGAACAGAAGTCCAGGGAAGACTGGTTCTCACTTTGACCCTAACAGCGATTTGTTTGTCCCAAGTGAGAGAAAAGATGTGATTACTTCCACCTTATGTTGGACGGCCATGGCTGCTATTCTTGTTGGTCTAGGCTTCAAAATGGGTCCTATGCAGTTGCTTAAACTATATGGCGTTCCATACTGGGTAGGTTTCAACTTTCTTTTGGTCATCTGTTTCTTCTTTGACGCAATGATATCTCTTCACCAGTTAGAGAATACAATTGGACTTGTCTTTGCTTTGATGTTAGATATTTGTGATGTGGTTGGATTTCGTTACATACTTGCATCACCATGGTCATGAAGAGAAGCTTCCTTGGTACCGTGGGAAGGTATGATTGTCCTACCTTGGTCTAAGGCAATTCTGTCAGAGAATTTTTTATAAAGTTTGAAATTTTGGAGATTCAGACAATATTGTATGGAATTCCAAGGTTCATTTTGAACTTTCAAAATTACTGTTTCATTAAAACAATATTCTGACAGGAATGGAGTTACTTGAGGGGAGGGCTTACAACACTTGACCGTGATTATGGATGGATCAATAACATCCACCACGATATCGGAACCCATGTCATACACCATCTCTTTCCTCAAATCCCGCACTACCACTTAATAGAGGCGGTGAGTACCTCATATAGTTTTGATTGCTATGTTCTTATGCATTTTCTTATCATCCTGATCTTATCTTCTGTTTTCATCTCACAGACTGAGGCAGCTAAGCCAGTTCTTGGAAAATACTATCGGGAGCCAGAATATTCAGGTCCTCTACCTTTTCACCTGATTGGAAGTTTGATAAGAAGCTTGAAGAAAGATCACTATGTTAGTGACACTGGAGATGTTGTCTACTACCAAGCTGACCCGGAACGCAGAGATCCTTTTTAAGTTCTAAGGCTTCATCCATCCAAATGAAGCATAAGCCAGCGTGATGCTTCATAAAATTCCAGCTAGAATATTGGGTCGAAATAAAGCTCTTCGCTTGGAGCTTTCTTGCTTAACCAAAAGAGGTCTAAGCATTGAGCTTGTATTGCCATGGTACAGCCACAATCATATAGAAATCATATTTAAGTTGAATAGTATAATTAACAAGGGCAATTGGAGCCTTTTTTTTTTCTTTGGGGGGAGAGGGAGGCATATAAGTTAGGATATATTCGATTGTGGCATTCTACTAGTAAAGGAAAATGTATATTTATTCTTTTACAAGAGAAATAGCAATTGCTTAAGCAAAAATTAACATTTATTGCTTAATTGAATCCTCTGAGAAATGGACAAAAAGGAGTTCTATGTTTATTCTTTAGGTTATGTGTGCGGACCACGACTCAAGGGCTGTCCCTCTTGCTTGTTATTTTCATCCGATAGTTTTGTGATAAAGAAGGAGAAATCATGACTAGCATCATGTTTACCTCCGCACTTTTGGTCCCAACCCAATCAGAAAAAGCGATTCTAATCATTTACTACCAGTCATCATGCCTATCTTTATAATTTCCCACTATTCTACTTGATTGGTTTTTAGTTGTCTTGGTCAATCACCATCAACAAACAATACCATTAACAATAATCCTCTGATAAATGCTATGTCATTATCTTTTTGTTCCGCGTGAGGAAATAAGCCATGGTGCGTGTTTACCCTTATCCATGAAAGAAATGTGCAACTGAGTAGCAAGTTACGCGCATGATTTTCCCCAAACACCATTTGATATTTTTATTTGTATTTCTAGGATTTTTTTTCCAAACATTAACATCGCATCAAGCTAGAGACAACGGCTGGATGCAAAAATCTTCCCTTTGCACGTGAAAGAGATTGCTACATGGGAAATCACATTGCAAAAAAAAGGAAGATTTTCGTGCTTTTTCTTCGCTTAGTCCACAACCAATGAAAATCATGTCAAAATTCTAAAACCTTGAATTTCAAGCCATCAATTAAGTACTTGTTTTTAGTAGATATATGCATATTAATTGAGTAATTTGACACCATATAATTATAATTTTTAAAAATATAAAAAAAAACTTATAATATTCAGGCAAAGTATCACGTCATATTATGAGTACGACCTTCGACTTGGAGGATTGAACCTCTTAGCCCTTCTTACCCTGTGGGCTGTCAAGTTTCAATGACCGGTTCTAACGCAAGAAGGCTAACTGAGCCTAGGCAAATAAACTTTCAACATAACACCGATTCCACATGGATTGAAAACCCAATTTACGCCAAGTGAGGGCCCAAAAGAACAATGAACACTGAGAAATGTAGTAGAAGCCGTCCAGTCAGCAGGAACCGGAGTCGGTGGCTGGCAAATACGTACTACAAGAGTCAGGACCACCTCTTTAAGATTTGAACAACATCAAAAGTCCACAACTTCGGCTGCCAAAAGCTGCTTTCCTTGTTTTTTTTTAATGGTAAAAAAATAAGCCAGCTTGATCCCCCGCTTTGCAATCTAAATTAGAAGAGCTTCTATTCCTCTTACTATTATTCTCTAAGCATGGCGCGTAGGCTAACGTGAATCCATTAATAGTGTAAAAAACTAAAAACAGATCGACTGCTGACAATTTTGTCTTTATGCACTTTAACATACACTCCGTACTCGAGCTGAATGCGCGTAGGTCTAGGATTTTTCTTGTTTTCTAATGTGAATTCGACGACCTAACCCAGCTCTCTATAATTCATAGATTATAGACCGACCATTCTTCCTAACCTATGAATCAATACAAAAAATTATACTCATTTGTGTACGATTCAAACTCAAAGCCCGCCACTGTTTCTTTCCCGGGGTAGTTTGATTTTGTTGACTATATTTTGAGCCATTCTTGAGCATCATCTACTCACTATCCTACAAGAAAATTTGTGCTTCTCACTAACTTTACTACATTTTTTGCCTCCCTTTTTTTTTTTTTCTCCAATTGAAGCATGAGTAACACAAAAAGTTCTAGTTTTGGGTGTTTTTCCGCCGTTTTGCGCCGGACTCTTTGTTCAGGTAGTCCTCAAGCACATCCATCTGATCGCGTTATAGAGTTAAACACTGTCGATGATGTGGCTAAGGTTCAAGTCCAAGCTTCTGAAAGTGGCCCTGGAATAGTGGCGAGGCTAATGGGGCTAGACTCATTGCCAGAGAACACCTGGGTACAGAAAGGTAAAACTCCAGGCTCTGTTACGCGGAGCAGGTCAGTCAATTTCGTGGATTATATGCTGGAGTTTGATTTAACACAAGCCAAACATCGCCGTGTGAAAACTTCAGCGTCATTTCGTGAGGTACCGCAAGGTCCGCAACAATTCCAGCATAATCAGAATCGAGAATTCTTTGTGGTGTACTTGGATAGTGTGGATAAAAATAATGAAGCAGGGTTTAAGCCAACGAAATCAGAGAAAGGAGATGGATCAAGTAGTAAGCATGTTAAGCAAAAGGAGAATGTAAGCGATAAAGTAGCTCGTAAGAAGGCGAATCAAGAGAAAAACAAGAAGATATCCAAGCTTAAAAATGAGCCAAGAAGAGTTTCTTCTGGTAAACGTCCTTTGGAGGCTGGTGGCTGCATTAGTGGAGCCAAGGTTGGTCAGATTAATCATGATGCAAATTCGAAGGCAAAAAGCCCATTGAAGATGGTAAATCAGAAGGAAGTATATGTTGTGACAAGGAAGAAAAAGAATCAACGCGAACTTAAAAAAATTGATTACTCTGAGAGTAACTCAGAGGGTTCAAGCTCAGTTTCTGTCCTTAATGTAAATGATTTTGTATCCCACCAAGAAAAAGCCATTTCAGGTTTGGATTCTAAATTTCAATATCGGATTCTGTGAATTCTGTAAAATAGGTACTGCCATTGCCAACTAACTTGATTATTCTCAAAATCTTTCTTACAGAAGATTCAAGGTCCTTGGAACTGAATTCAGAGAAGAAATGCTCATCAAAGTCAGTGAAACACGACTCTCCCACTATTGTTATTAGTGCTCGCATTTCAATAACTGGAGGTCTTGGAAAGCAGGAATTTACCAAGAAGAATTTTGAGTCAACGAATATCGAGGAGACTGATTATTACATGGAGTTGGTTGCTAAGCCTTGCAAATTGACAGAGGAAGATATCAAATTCTCAAACTGGCTAACCAAGAAAGTTTTCACGTTTGAACACTTTGAAGAGATCTGCGCGGAGTTTGGGGAGCAAATACTTGATCTCATGTTGTACCAGGTAGCTGACGAACTTATGGGATTTCACATGCAAATTACTGACATATCATAATGCTTGAAAAAGACTTGGTGGAAAATTTTACACAAAAGCAGAGTTTTTCTATGCAAAATCTCTAAGGTAAACCTTGAAAATAAAATTTCAAGGCAAATCTCGTGTGAAAGGGGTTCGCCGACTTTGATTACTGGTCCAGTTGTCTTTGCAAGCAGATTGCAGCAAGGATCTAGTGTCAGGTGGCGCAAGAACATATAGGAAATTAGGAATAACATGATACATGTTCAGCAAATGTAAACTTATTAGTAATAATACATTACTAATAGATTAAAAAAAATCCTGTGTACTTGTGGGTTTTATGTCGCTGATTTCTCGTACATTTGAGTTTTGTTAGATAAATAATTATGAGAAAAAAATAATAAAACAAATTTTATTTTGAGGTATGAAAAATATTTTTTTTTAAATAATTATGTCTTTAGGATATAATAAAAGTTTTAAATTCTTTAATTAAAAGTAATAAAAGTGATTATATTAAAAGATTTATTTATAATGAATGAGCAGATATAAATTTTTATTCAAATAATTATAATTTTGTATATAATTATGATCTTTATGAATAATAATATATTTATATTCAAATAATTATAATCATTTATCATATGATAATTATTTATGTTCAAACATAATTATTTAATATATAAATAAAATTAATATAAAAATAATTTTATTAATCAATAATTAAATCATTCTATTTAATGTAAGATGCACCATATTCTAAACTACGAATAATCCCTCACCAGTTTAGAATATTGGTACTTAATCTTTAACTTTTCATACAAATAAATATTATGAATATAAAAAAGTATATCTCGATTTAAACATTCAATTAACGTATATATCTTAAAATTTTAACGAAATTGATGGTATTCGCAGATTAAACTTTAACTCTCTTGATGTTAGAATTGAAGATATAACTGATATAATACTTATTTATTCTTTTGTTAAAAGTTTATAACCATTTTTCGCACTATTATGGTTATGTACTTATTTTATTTATAAATATTTACAAGAAAAATCTCAATTCTTCTTATTGAAGCGGCACTACTTCTATATTTATATACGTAGACTTTTTATTATGTCTTCATTGCTTTAGACATTTAAAACTTCATTAAGAGTATAAAAACTTATCCTCTCAATGCAATAGATCACACTAGTTTCTAAAATTTGAATGGATTTTACTAGTGCTTAATAAACACATAACAATAACTTATTTTTACCCATTAAACTTTATAATTAGAGGTTGCTAATTCAAAGTTAGGTTCTCATTATTGGTCTAATAGTAAGGGTTTAAATCTATTCTGTTTGTAATACTACTAACCAAAAATCTTCAAATTTAATTTCTTTTACGGTAATTATCCTCACTTGAGATTAATTCTCTAATATAATCACTTTAGGCTAATATATTTAAATTTTTTATTTTACATATCATTTATATGTTCAAGACATTATTGCATTATTCTTACCATTTTAAGAAATAATTGGTTTTGGTTGTGGCCACAACTCTATACTCATAAATTTCAACCATTATATTTTCATACTTTATACATCTTTAATACAATTATACTTTTAATACAATTGGATAAACTCAATGAGTAAACCAAACCATTTTAGTTTTTTAAAGATTTTTAAGAACCTTTTTATGATTTTATTTTATTAAGTGTCTAAACTTGTAATAAAACTATAGTGGTAATTTTTATTTCTTTTGATTCTTATCACCCTCACCATGCAAGTATGCATTTTTTTTATTAAAAAATATCTCATTCAATTATCAAGATATCTTATATACTTAATCAAGTTGCTATTTCATTTAATTGAGTTGCCATTTCATTTATCTTTTCAATATTTTATGTTTTTTTTTTTTAAGTAGAAGGCCTTCAAATTCACCCTTAGTGAAAAATAATTAGCAAATATTATATATCTTAATATTTCTTTTTCATAAAAGTTTCAAAACTTTTATATTTTAACTCAATATAAGAGTTTAAAGTAATAAGCAGATTTCAAATATAATTATGCTTCTATAGTCTCCTTTTAGCACTTTTTAAGTCAATCCATAAATACTTATATAAATCTATTTCATCATTGACACTATTAATAATTGTTTTACCATGAACAAAACCATTTCCATCACCTGAATGGATCAAATAACATTCCTTTTACTATTATAAAAGTTTTCATATTCACAAGATCTTTGAATTAATCATGGTTTCCAAAGTAAATATACTTTAAAATTTTCACTATATTTCAAAACTTTTAATAAAACTGTAGATGATAAATCATTTGTACAATCCATGAATTAGACCATATACATAACAAAAAATTACCACAATGTGATCAAGATTGTGGCATCAATTTTGGCTTATGACTATTCTAAGCCAATCATAATAATCCACATCATAACTATAAATCATATAGATTTGACTATTGAAATTATTTTACTTATAGTGATAGCTTTTAGTGAAAATCAACCATCTCAAATATTATCATGAGTTTCTAATATATTTACTAATTGCACAATGGCCAATTCTAAGTTCATGATTATTGAAACCTCTAAACTTCATTTCAAAATTTTATGAGAACTTGATTTTTCTACCATTGTACAACATATATATTTATGTTATTTGCCACTTTTAACTGGTCATAACATTTTCGAATATATAATAAATTCAAATTTTACTCATATGACCAATATGTCTAAATATAATAAGAGTTAATGGTATATTTAACTCTAATTTCAAATACTTTCACAATCATTTTGGGATCAATATATTAATATCTAAATCACCATATCAATGCAAGTCATGAAACATGAATCAAAAAAATTATTTTCATAAAATAGCATAAACAATAATTATAATATGAATTCTATTCATATTTCAAGTAAAACCTCGTAATGAATTTACATTGGTTAAATCATTAATTGGCTAACTCTAAGATTTATGGCTTTCACAAACCAATATTATTATCTAAGCCCATATGTTAATATGGTGTATAACAACCACTTCTTTGCCATTGTCATGAAACTATTGAAAACCTCATAAACTTGTGCACTTTTTCTTTTAGTAGCCTACAAAAGGCCGTTTTTTCGGGTACAAGAAGCAAAAATATCTTCATTATCTTTAACCAATAATGTTTTAATTTGATGGTGACATTCTATCTTCATAGTCCATATTTTTCTTATATGTATAAGAAAGAAAATTCCATTCCATTCAATTCATGTTTGTAATAAATGGTAAATTGTATCAATGTTCTCCATGCCATCACAAAATGGAATTAAACACATGTATGCATTGGTGCCTTTGGAACATTGAATTTGCATGATCTTTTCTAATTTGTAAATATGATTAATTAGACATTGATAAGCATATTTCAAAATGCTAGTAATTAACAAATGCTTCAATAGTTTTAATGACATGCCTTTTTTATTTTTAATTAGTATCCTATATGCGAAAAGTAATAATGTTTTTGTGTAACTATTGATTAACTCTTTAATGGCTATTTATATTTTTATTTTGTGATTATTCACAATAAAATTTTATTTTGTAAAATCACTCATAGTATAATACACTTAGCAAGCAAAATACATGTCACATTACCCATGTTTCTGATAATAATAATTATTTGGTTTATTATCCACTAATTAATTCATGAAACACCATATCTTAATAATAATTATTCACATACATCAATTTAATTTTAATTGATTTTCATGAAAATTGAACACTAGTAAAAATTTGAACTAACAATAAATTAAAAAAAAATCAACTTTGGATTTATAAACGACCAACCAAGATGAAACCACACAAATAGCTTGACTCAACTTATTATCTCAATTTTAGTGTCATGATTTAACACTAAAACTAATCTTGCACTCAAATCTTATTTTCTGCATATATTTTTACTTACATTTAATTTTTCATGATAAATTCCTTTATTAATTTCTAATTGTTTTCATAGAAACCATGGGCCAATTTTCTTATTCTATATATAAATAAGACATAACAATTAAATAATCAGTCATTGCATTAGAATCCAATTTAATTTGTTACTTGATAATAAGTGATAATTCTTTTGGTCGTATATCAATTCATATATTTCTCTTTTATGTTTTAGGCTATTTCCTATTCCAATCTTTATAAGCATTGATTTTTCAAATAAATATACTACAATTTATTAAACCTAATTATGGAACCAATTTCTATATATAAATAAATTTATACAATGTAATTAATATTTTACATATTGTGTTTTAATTTTACACACTAATGAAATTACTTATCAACGTGTTTATTTCATTTAGTCAATTTTTTTACCAGCAATTATATAAATAATAAAATACATAGCTTTAATAAAGAATTTTATGAAAATTAACATTTTGGTTAATGGAAACATTAATCCTTTGATATCTTGAGCTTCCTCTAATATTGATCTCCAAATCATGCTAATTTCTTTTTTCTTGTATCTTCCTCATGCGAAATATAAATTTCTCATAATTGCTTTTTAAATTGTTAGAAAAAATAAATAAGAGAAGAGAAATAATAAAAAAAATTTGGCTTTGAAGCATGAAAAACACTTTCTTAAAGTTAATTATGCCTTTAAGATATAATAAAACCTCAAACGCTCCAATTATAAATAGTGAAAATGGTTATACTGAAAAATTTATTTATAATGAATGAACAAATATAAATTTTTATATAAATGGTTATAACCTTCTATATAATTATAATTTATTTATATTTAAATAATTATCACCATTTGTGATATGATAATTATTTTTATTCAAACATAATTATTTAAAATATAAATAAAATTAATACAAAAATTAATTTTACTCATCAATAATTAAATTTTTTTATCCAATATAAAATGCATCGCATTCTAAATTTCTGGGATGTTAATTTGAAGATCTGAGTAGACTCGTAGTAGAAGCTGTCTAGTGTTGGATTCTGCTATTTTCATAATTGATTTGTGTTATGCATTATAAAATAAATCTCTAATGTCAGGCCCAAGGAGCAGCTATCACTTCAAGCGCAATGCTCCGCTAAAGGTAACGGACCACTGAGGAATATTAAACCATCTCCTCCCGATTCGCAAAGTTCCTTTTCCGCAGTGGCTTCCTTTTTTGACTGATTCAATAATGTCACTGAGGAATATTGAAGAAAAATATAAAAAATCACCCGTTATGAATAGAAGGTCACATGAATTTACTACTGTCATTTTCAAGCGCTGTAATGATTGTTGGTTTTACACAATTTGATCTTAGAATTTTGCTCTTTATTTGCAGGGCTTCAAGAACAAATGCCCTTAAAAGAGCATCACAGAAAAAAAAAAAAAAAAAAAAAACTGACTTAAAGGACTATAAATGTAGAATGAAGAAA